TAAAACAGCAGTCACTGGTCGATTTGGGTTTAACCGATCCTGATTTCGATGGAGCTTAATGTTAAACTGAAACCGCGGATGCACCTGACTGTTATTTGCAAAGTGTTGATTGTTTCACAACTTTCTTTTTTGCAAACTGTGCCTTTCAGAGTTAGTGACGATCGATTAAATGATAGATCCAAAATCGTGACACTTACCGTGCAGACCAATTAGTTCTAATCGAGCATCTTAATCAACGTCATTGGGCGATACAGTTAAGAGGGCATTTTCAAAGTGTAGAACGAATAAACACACGGTTTTTCTAGAAATCGATTGTTAAGGATTTCTTGAAGAATTTTGACCTTTTTGCACAGACTTTGTATTTGATTTTTCACAATATCTTTAAAGTGTATGTTGCCATGTTGAAAATATTGCCAATTTGTTCTAAAGGAGCACGAAATGAAATCCCTTACAGTTGTGTTAGAAAACTAACAGTTTAGAAGCTGTGATACAAGTTGAGATGTAATGCGCCGCGTATGATCCTCTTTCCGCCGATTGTGCATATAAGTTTTGAGTTCAATAGTCAAAATATTTCCGTAGAATAACATAAATGCAAATTAAGGTGCAAAGTTTGCAGTTGTCAGTGCAATCTCTTTCAAGGTACATGAGTTTTAAAAACCAGTTGCTTATATCTGCTTGTTTTCCAGGTTTATGCTGAATTACTTAATTTTTTTAGGGTTACTCCCGTTGCACCGCTTTATTGGGTAAAAGCTAGTGTGGAACTACTCATTAATGAAATGCCAAATTCGACAAAGAAGATACTGATGGGGCTCAACTTCTACGGATACGATTACGACTTATCACGCGGGGACTTTGTCGCCGTAGTAGGAGCTAGGTAAACGAAGTTTTGAACACAGTCTTATTTGATGCATTTTTTGTTGACAGTTTTACTTAGTTGGGTATGTAAGTTACTTTGTTACCTTTAAGCAGGCTACATCGAGCTTAGTGCTTAACCCATGAACGCCATTTCTATCTCTTCGTTTGATCGAACTCCATATTTCCCAGTGCCATCGGAAGTATTTTTGCCTGGAAATGACAAATAGCATATCGTGTTTCGTTCAGAGAAATGACAACAGCGTGTGTGAGATCGAACAGTTTTATTAGGTTAGGTTTTCTCAAGTTTGATTATCCATGTTAAAAAGAATGCTGATTGCACCGTTTTTGATACTGTCTACCATATTTCCATTTTTTCAAGCCCACGAGCCATCATTCTTTTTTCAGAGGGTAGTCCGCACAGCGAAGAAAACTTCTGCGTCTTTTTTTTTTGAGGGATTAGTACGGACTGTAGCTTCCACTCATTCCTTCTGAGTTGGTACTCAGAGTATCCTTCGCCTAGATAGATCTGTCTTAATGGTAAAGGATTTCTATGTATACTTCGGTTACTAATGTACCTTAACCGATTACACTGCTATTGACCGATCTTCATTACTAGTGTGATTAGTTGTTCAGGAGTATGTAATCTTCCTTCCTACGGTCGTAAAGCTCCACGATCTCCTGTTTTTGATCGTTGGCCGCATTTCACTACGGCGACGCAGAGTGGGATTACGGAGAAAGTTGATGAGTGCGTGTAGCTATTACTGCCTAACAGTAATTTGAGGATAGCAACAAAACTAGATTGTCACTACTGCTAATTAGGATTTTCGCAGCTGTTGGTCGTCGCGCTGATTTCCTAGCTAGCGAAGGCAAAACTTGTTGCTGAAATTAGTTGCGCAGCGACGGCGCACGTTCTCTCTTTACCAGGCGGCTTAAAATCAAGAAGTCCACCATGTCAGCTCACAGCATTTACAAAATGAAAGTGGAGTATGGCATGATTGAACGTTCGTTCCTTAACTAGCGAAAGTGAGCTTGGAGATGTCTGCCATGGGGTCCTACTGCACAAACTGGGCCTACTAGCGGGAAAGAAAACATGCCTTCCAGCGAAGGGGACGTTTGACCAGCAGGATCGGTAGTTATTTTGGCGGTCAGACCACGGTAAATTTCACCGTATCAGGGTATGCATCTCCTTGTCCTCGTGATTAAGCCGTGAG